TGTGTGTGTGTGTGTGTGTGTGTGTGTGTGTGTGTGTGTGTGTGTGTGTGTGTGCGCCCGTGGTCGTGGGGGTGGGGCGACCCCTCCCACTTCGCGAGAGCAAGAGGGGCAAAGAGATGATGCGGAGGTTCCGGAGAACATGTAGGCCTGCCTTCGTTATCGAGAACCGGCCTCTCCTTCGTGAGGTTAGCTCCCATTCTCTAAGCCCGATAACGCTTCTCCGCTTACCCTAGAGATGGCGGCATCCTCCGGAAGGGAAAGAGTACCTTTCTTGGAGTCTAGTACAAGGAAGACCTCAAACCGCTTCGTTAGAATCAGCGGACACCTAGCGCTTCTTCCTTCCCATCTTGCCTACCGAGTATCCCTCCTACTTCGCGAGAGCAGGTAGACCTGCCTTTGTTACCGGAACCGTCCTCTCCTTCACGAAGTTCACTCCTATTATTTAAACCCGATAAAACTCCATTCAATCCGCTTACCCCAAAGCAAGCCGAAGATTAGTCAAGTATTCACAACACAAAAGCAACTTTCTTCCCACACTAAAATATTGGGACCTCTGAAAGAGATGATTCAGCGTCTTTCTACTTGGCAAGCCGCAGTTCCTTCCTATGGTAAGTTCTTCGAGGACGAGTGTCCCGTTGGAAGAGATGAAAGAGACACTTACCTCGGTGGCAAAGCCGTCGAAAAGCTGGAGTCCTGGACAGCCAAGAATAGGAAAAGGACCTCCGGAGATTAACTCCTCGAAAATCGGTTCTTCACAGGTACCAAAATGCTATTGCGTCTCTCCAGGCAAGCAGCGGAGCCCAAGCGCCGTACTCAGCGATGGGACCGGTTGGCCTGCCACAAATAGCAAAGATGCCGAGTGCCCAGCCGTCTCCTCAAGATATAGTTCAACTACTGGGACTATCGGCCTCCGAGCCACAGTGAGTGTTCTAGTCCTAATCCTGCAGCTCAGTCTCCTGGTGGTCTGCTGTTCTTGGCGCCTGATACTTCAACCAACAGGAAGGCCCAAACCACGCCTTGTAACTTATTTTCTAGACTGAGCACCTTTCGTCTTCTATCTGTGGAAAGAAGGCTGCAGTGGCCTTCACATTTGTTACTCGGAAGAGGGTCCCCATTTTTTACAAGGGTCCCCATGGGCTTTCAATTGTCCTCTCGCGGCCAAGTTCGAATGGGCTTCCAATTAATCAAAGGGTAAAAAACAGTTTGAAAATGCACCTGAGGCAATCCCGCAAACAGAACACAACCCCACATGACCCCCACATGACCCGACCGGACCCGAAACCTAGGTTGTATACATTCACCATTTCAGGCCCTTTTGTCTCAACAACTGCATCTTCAAGCTCAAACCCTGACTGCGGCATAGTTTTCTCTTTAATAGATGAGAACACGTGGTTTCAATTTAATCAAAAGGTAATAAACAGTTTGAAAATGCACGTCAGGCAATCTCGCAAACAGAACACACCCCCACGTGACCCCACCGGACCCGAAACCTAGGTTGTATACATTCACCATTACAGGCCCTTTTGCCTCAACAACTGCATTTTCTAACTCAAACCCTCACTGCGGCATAGTTTTCGCTTCAATAGATCAGAACACGTCGCATAGTTGAGCAGTAAGAATCCTTCGGCACTCGGTCGGGTGAGCCTAACTAACTGACTTAACAGAGCAGTCGTTGGCAGCTTCGTTGCTTGTTTTCAACTGGACGGCCAAAGAGATCATACCTGTTTGCCCGGTTTTAGGCTCGGGGTGCACTCCGCCAGGAATGAGCTGAGCTGCAGAGGTTCCTTGTTGAGCGGTGGGTGCATCAAGCATTGGCAACTGCCAACAAATAAAACCGCAGTGTAGTCAAGCGTTAAGGTACTTGGTGTTCTGGTGGAAAAATCTTATGTGTTCTGGTGGAAAAATCTAAGTACTTTTACCAACCTAATATGAAGCCGATTACAAGTGCATGTTGCTGACTGCCACACAAATGTAACAGTTGGCAAACATATTATCAGTTAAATCCAGTTGGGATGAAAAAACTGGGGATGTGCCGTCTGCTAAGGTGGGTCTACACACAAGGGTTAAGTTGTATCAGGTGGCCGGACATCAGCTGAGTTGACAACAGTGGAGGCGTTTTCAGGGACTGCAGTCAGTAGAGAAAGGTGAAAGCAGTGGGGTATCAAGTAACAGGACCTGCTGAGGGGTGCAAGGATTGACATCTGCACAGCGCATACACAGATTGACCAACGTGGCAACGTAATAAGGGAGCCGACACAGCACATGAGCATGTATTTTTTTGAAGACATCTGAATCAAGAGAACTACGTTTGACTGATTCTTCAGAACATATTGACGATGCGAACATAAACATAATACGATGGAGAGAGAGAGAGAGAGAGAGAGAGAGAGAGATGGATATTTCTACGTGTGTATATATATATATATACGATATATATCGTCAAATAGAACTGCCCGGTAAACCGTAGGCAGAGAGGGAGAAGAGGACAACAAACGAGGGGCTGTGACAAACTGTTTCGTCGGAGTTTCACCGACTCATCAGGAGGCTATATATATATATACACGATATATATATATATATGTATATATCGTCACAATATATATGTACATACCTAGAGAGAGAGAGAGAGAGAGAGAGAGAGAGGGAGAGAGAGAGAGAGAGAAGAGTGGCGTACGATAAGTGCAGAACTGAGGAATGAGATTTCAACTTGATTCACGCATTGCAACAATAACGAGGAAAAATGGAGCATTGTCTTGCCCAACTAATAAAATGAAGTATTCGCATGTTCAATCTCTTCTGAATCCGGTGAGTCCCTGGAGCAATTCTCAAACAAGAGGCTAGCTAGAAGACACGATACGTCGATACATCATCTTGATGATGTGCGGACACTGCACAGCTGCTGGGAAGCCCTGCCTACAACCTCAGGGAGGGCGGCAACAGCGTAACGATGGCTGTACATCTCCTCCTCCATAGCTATCCCTATCTAGAGCCGTAGACAAAACTCCACACCCGCGTCTGCGCCTATCTATTTAAACTGCCGTCCCCGAGGACGTCTTCACAGAGAGATTGTAATTCGCTCGATGCAGATCAGCCTCTCATCATCAGCACGTCCTCCAGTTGAGGCGGTAGATGAGCTTGAACTTCTTGTCCGTGGAATCCAGCGTCATGATGCCGTTGCGACCCGCCGGACCGTCGACTCTCACCTCGGAGTTTATGTTCAGGTTCGGCACGTTGTTGCACTGGCTCCACACGAGCAGGCCGAAGACGTCGGTGTACTCGTAGTTGAGCTCCAGTTTGCCGTTGAGAGTGCGCTTGGCGTACGAGGTCCCCGTCTGTCCGGAGAAGTAGTAGCTCGTCTGATAGGTGCCCTCCACGCCCTTATCGAGCTTGCCGTAGCCACGGCCAGTCACGCTTCCCAGCGACAGACTCCAGCCCTTGGGGTACTTCAACCCGAGCGACGCCTGGCAGTTCTTCCTCCTGTTGGCCAGCCCTCCGTCCGTGGTGGCAATCATATCGCCAAAGATGAAAGTGACCGTCGAGTAGTCGTTGGACAAGACGTAGTTGGTATTCTGCCAGTTGCAGCCGGAGCCCATGTACGTGACCGATTCGATCGTCACCTTCGGCGGCTTAGCGCTCGCAGGGACGGCCGCGCTCAGAAGCGAAACGACAACCACGGCCGCCATGGCGGCCACCACGGGAAAGAGTGATCGAGCCATCGCCGCTCCTCTCAGCTTTGCCCCCCTCCTCTCAACTTTGCGCCCCTCCTCGGCCGGCTACTCCGTTTCGAGTCCTTCGGCTGTCAAACGTTCTTCTCTCGCGCAGCCTCTCGTGATACCACACTCGTTGTGGACTTCGGTCTCCACTACCACAGTTCTCTGGGTCTACGCAAGCGTTTGTGTTCGTCGAGAACCCCGTCGTGGGCTCTTTATACACTCAACGGAGGGCCGAAAATCAAGCAGAACAGCAGTGCGCGATGATCCGCACGCCGTGAGCAGTTCCCTTACCCCTACTTCGACTTCGTGTGCGCGCATCCACACGCCAAGGATATTGGGCCTCCACTACTCTCGAAATCTGCAAAACGAGAGTGAATGTTCCGCTAGCATATGGAAAGATACATCGCCATGATTTTTGTCTTTCGTGCATGTGGAGAGTAGTGCAGCGAGGCCCATCGGCATCCGGATGATATGAAAGTGTAAGTGCACATCGAGCTCGAATTTACTCGACCGAACTTTGACAGTGTCTGCGGTCAGATTCAATCACCGAGATTGGACTCTAGGTCTTTAGACGTAGAGCCGTCCGCAGAGCGCGTAATCTCGTCAGCAATGACATCTAGTACAGCCACGGGATGCCGCGTTTCGTCTTTTTTCCTTGTCCTATTTTCTTTCTCTTTGTTTTTGGATCATCTCTTGATTTATCCCTCTCTTGTCTTTTTGCAATATCTCGGCGTCTCGCTCCACCACTCTACACATGCACAAACGACAAAAAATATGGCGGTGTATCTGCCCATGTTCTAACCGAAGATTCATTCCCATTTTGCACATATTTCGGTGAGTGGTGGAGCGACGCCCTATGTCACCCTTGCTCATGGGCCATGCTTAAAATACTCTGCGCAATGATGACGCGCAGAAATCGAGAAATAGTCCAGTTTTTTTAATTGAAAAAGAAAGCAAGAAATAAAAAAGTGGTAAAGAAAAAAAAACAAGAATGGATATCAATCGAAGTGGGCCAAAAAAAAAAAAAAAAAAACTTCCCTGTATCGTTTCAATTTTGTGTCTAACCTGCCCATCGGCAAAAAAAAAACAAGAATGGATATAAATCGAAGGGCGATGGCCTTGAGGTATTATCATCGGACTAATTAGACCAGGTAAATTCAATATTGTGTCTAATCTGACATCGGGTGGCCTCTTCAGCCCAGGGTGGCCTTGATTGCCTTCAGGGAACCCCCAGCGGGGGACACCGGCCAGGGGACAGCCGGTGGCAGAGTGACCGAGCATCATCTGAGTGGCCAGTCGCTGTGCCTCCCCTATTACCCCTCCCCCTATGAACATCAGCAGAGACTGCTTTTCAATGCCAATTGCGTGGACCAACGTGCTATCTCTAGGTGGCAGGCGCCAAACATGCCCAGGAAGGTACATGAGGCCAATGGGGATTGAACCCAAGACCTCCTAAATGCGACTTGCGTGCCTTACCAACTGAGCTAGGCCGCTGGATCGTCGTTTCAATTTTGAAGGATGCGCCGAAGCGCTAGCTGTCCATATTCCTTTCTCCCTTCTTTCGGTTATCTATTTGAAAGATCTACACTTTTGTGAGGAGCCTGTAGCTGAAGCCTACACTGTGTAGCTCGGCCCCACTGACGCAGATTCTACACCTCCGATCCTTGATCTTCCTAATAATCTACGGTCAGAGAAGATCCTCCCCATGTAGTAGGTACCCCTCGGCCTTGCTCTCTCTCTCTCTCTATCTGCGCTCAGTTCTTGCCAACTTTATGAACACACGTCACTCAGAGAGATACAGGTGCAATCACACAGCCAGGTCACTAAGGGCCTCGCCACACAGGCTTTCGAAACGTGAAAACGACAAAAATGTGCCAGGCGCATCTGGCCATGTTCTAGCGGCAAGTTCATTCTCGTTTTGCACATTTCGACAGCCTGTGTGGCGAGGCCCTAAGTTCTATGGGCCTCGCTTCAATACAGCCAAATGTGCTGGCCTCGCTTCAATACTCGCCAAATGTGTGCAACAAACATGAGAAGGAATCTGCCGACAGAACATGGCAAGATCCACCGCCATATTTTATTTTTGTCTTTTGTGAATTCGGCGAGCAGTAGAGCGAGGCCAAATGTCGCACGATGACATTCAACTTCAGAGTATGAGTTCAATCGAGGACGGCGTTGAATGAGCATGATGCAGAGAACAGGGGCTTGAATCGGGACCCCAAAAGACGGAAAGAGCAAGGGAAGAAGAAGATATCAACGCTGATACTTTTGCCAGCGCATGCTTTAAAATAAAATAAAAAAACGGAAAAAAAAAACACCTCAGCGTAAACGCCACGTGGAATAGCACACGAATGAGGTCGGCTTAATTTTAGGTCACTAGGTCACTATCAGGCCGCTTGATAGCACGGACAACATGATGGGCCTCGCTCCAGTACACAACGCTCGACATGCATCTGGACAGCTTTCAGGACGCGATACACTCAAAGTGTTGGACCGGTCCGGATGCACCTGGTCCGGAAAGCGCACACATGTAGTGGAGAAAAGCCTCAAGAAAGGGTTACCTCATGCGGTCGCAGTCACACCAACTGTTCCTTAAATGTGTCGGACGGCATTCATGGCCCGACACGGGTGTATCTGACCGCAATGCTGTCCACAAAAGTTCAAAAAAGTACGTTCTAGTGTGAGTATGCGCCTACGTACTGCGTACAATCAYTTCATTACAGCCCAATAAATATAGGTGAGTAAATTGTTATCGCTGGGGTGGGYACTCTCTCCTGASGGCCTCGCTCCACCACTCACCAAATGTGCAAAATGAGAATGAATCTTCCTGAAGATCATCGAAAGATACAACGCCATATTTGCTGKTTTTTTTTTATAGCGTTCCCAAGTTGAACTCGAGAGTGGAAACAAAAGTGGGACACCTACGAACTGTTCAAATGCACATCTGAGTTCGAATTCCATGGCAATCTGACGGGCGTGAAAATAATTTCCGCTGAATTTACCTGGGGCCGGTCGACCTCCAGGAATACTGTTCCGCCTAGATACAATGCGTTGCGTGTACCTGTTCCCCGTTGAGGAGAAGAAAGCCCTGTTTAAAAAAAAAAAAAAGATGCTTTGCGTGGGTTACACGCGTTGGGGCTCCCGCTTCTGGCTGTTCCTGTACGTCGTTCCTGCACACGCCAAGTGTGCGAGAAAGCCCAAAAAATAATAATAATAATAAATGGCCAGAACATCTTTCAACCTCCATACTCAAGGCGTTGGAGAGATCCGTTCCAGAGAAGCCTTTTTTTTTCTTTCTTTTTTTTCCCTTCTCTCAATTTTACCTCTCACTACCTACCCACCGCTACTCCTATGCATGCCTGCGCAATGATGACGCGCATAAATTGAATGACCTTTTTCAAACTAAAGATAAACGGCCTCCGGAGGAGCATGCGTTAAAACTGGAGCGATACCGAGAGAAGATTAATTAATTATCATGGCCCCTGTGCCGCTCCGACGGTGACGGGACGGGGAAAGCATGGTGTTTGTAGATGGGATGTCGACCGTGACGAGGAGTTAATACGCGAGGAGGAGTTATCGCGTAGGTCCTCCTCCACGAATGAATGCACTTCACGGATTCAATGTTAACCCCCACTGTTAACTTGTGTCAGTTATTTGGAGATGGCGTTCAGCTACTGGGTCGTACATGGTGTTCTTGCCGGCTCATGCATGGTTGTCCTATCATGTGGAGTGATGCTGACGACTCCGTAAGCGGTACATGTCGTTGTTTCCTTCCTCTCCTGCCCAAGGATTACACGCATAAATCTGGAAATGGTCCTCTTTTTTTTTTTTAAGAAAAAAGGAGAACCGAAAAAAATCCAATGAAAATCGAGAAACCGCCAGCGCGCGTACAAGTTGTTGCTTCCTTCCTTCCCCGCGTACGCAGAAAATAAAAATAGAGAAACGGCGAGCGCGCACGTGAGCGATCACGTGCGTCCACGCCATTCACATCTGCATGTGAGTCACGGTGCAGTGTGCACCACTTCGCTCTGCGTTCGCCATGTTGGTCTCAAGCTATTCTGCGAACTGACGTCAGATTAGCTCAAGATCCATGCGCTGCGCAAGACCGAGAATCCGGCGGCGGGTAAGTGGGAAAGTTTTTTGTTTTTTTGTTTTAGTCGGAAAATTTGACGACCGTTTTTTTTTCTTTTTTAAACTGTGGAGTCATCCGTCGGCTAACTAAAAAAAAAAAAAAAAAAATCTAGACATTTTCTCTCTGTCTCAGATGTTCTGGCCGTTT